TCACTGAAACCTCCAACTTCTAGGCTTAAGCAATTCTCTTGCCTCAGCCTCCTGAGTGGCTGGGATTATAGGAAATCGCCACAACGCTCGGCTAATTTATATTTTAGAGAATACTTCAAAGCTACACACTTTAAAAGTCTTTACCATTTAATGTTTAAAAAACCATCCATTACAATTTCCATATCTATATATCTAAGCTATTGGCATGCTTCTGTAAAGATCAAGAATATTAAAAACATGAACCTTTTCACTCAGATTTGCAGTTTGTAGCTTCTTTTGCTGTAGGTGACTCTGGAGTGAATTTCGTCGTCTAGTCAGCAGGGTGATGTAGGAAAAGTGTTGTCACCAACACTTCAGGGCACCTACGTTGGTACACCTCTCAGGTAACGAAAGAAGGGAGATTAATTACAAGGGTGATTACCTTAACTCCAGCCTGGTTTTCACTGAAGTAGTTAAAGTTCATGCCACTATGTCCTTTCCATGTCAGAAGGGACAAAGCCCACCCCAAGACTATCTAGAAAAATGTAATTTGAATCAGTCTTCACTATTTTTTTTTTTTTTTTTTTTGAGGCAGAGTTTCACTTTGTCACCCAGGCTGGAATGCAGTAGTGCAATCTCAGTTCACTGCAACCTTTTTCTCCCAGGTTCAATTGATTCTCCTGCTTCAGCCTCCTGAGTAGCTGGGATTACAGGCACGTGCCACCATACCTGGCTAATTTTTTTATTTTTAGTAGAGGCAGGGTTTTGCCATGTGGGCCAGGCTGTTTCTCATACTCCTGACTTCAGGTGATCCACCTGCCTTGGCCTCCCAAAGTGCTGGAATTACTGGCATGAGCCACCTCTCCTGGCCCCATCTTTACTATGTATTCAAAGTCTCCGAATTAGTGAAGTTGCATGTTAATTTGAAGATTTTTTGTCTGGTAAAGAGGCAAATAATTTGTTTTGCCCCCAAATGGTAATTTATTTCCCTATTGAACATTAGCTAGGTTTGCATTCAACACAGTAATCTTAATGTTGCCAAGAAATATCCAGCTTCTCAAATGCTCTTGGAGCCAGTTTTCATTTTATAGTTTTCTTATTAATGAGTTGAATAAAGTCCTTGTCATGTGTTTATGTGTATGAGAGGGTCATGTCTTGTGACCTTTTGGAAATTGCACATGATCATTTTTGAAGGTCATCCACTGAGATGTTGGAGAGGATTAACTTGGCCGAGCCCAAGGAACTGATTTTGCTGCACATCTTTTCTTGACCTCTGAAACGAAGCCTGGGTGGTGACAGAACTTGAACTTTCCTGGCTCTCTAGTTCTTTTGCCCTCTGATTTTATGTATGAATACTTGGTTCTGTTTCTGGTTTGTATAACTTCAGTAACTTATTCCCTACTGGTAGCAACAAAATAAAGATTGGGGACTTGCTTTTACGGTCTATTTGGTTATCTCTGGTGGATGAATAAGGGACACCTGTTCTTTGTTGGGTGAGGCTGGACAGAGAATCTGATTTATTAGTATTTTTTGTTTCTGTTTTGTTATTTTAATCTGTTTGTTTATATGCAATCTCAAAGCAATCAAGAATTACATGCTATATTAGTCAGCCTTCTCCAGAGAGAGAACCAGTAGGACATGCGGAAGGGCATTTATTAGGAGGAAATGGCTCACACAATCACAGAGGTAGAGAAGTCCTACCACGTGCTGACTGCAGGCTGGAGAACCAGAGACGTTGGCAGCATGGCTCGGTCCAAGTCTGAAGCCTCAGAACAAGGGAAGCCGACAGTGCAGCCCCCACCCAGGCCTGAGAATTTTGCCATCTGCTGATTGTCAATCTTGAGTCAGACTGGGTGTGAAGTGGTTATGCTGGAGTCAATTCTGGCATAGATTGTTTGGTTGCTCTTCAGTGGCGAAAGCACTTGCAAGCAATACTCATCGTGCTGTGCCCAGATGGATCATTGGATTTTGTAACTGTATAATATGAATAGGAACCAACACTTCATGGATAAGTACCATTACTAAGAAAAGAAACCAAATGGGTAAATGGTTTTAGGTAAACCCACCAAGAGTGCTAGAAAATCAACTTAAAGTATATGTCTTACAGACAATGGGTAAGACACTAGTACTATTTTCACATACTATTTATTATTTATTGAGACAGAGTCTCGCTCTGTCACCCAAGCTGGAATGCAGTGGCATAATCTCAGCTCACTGCAATCTCTGTCTCCTGGGTTCAAGCAATTCTCCTGCCTCAGCCTCCTGAGTAGCTGGGATTACAGGCATGTGCCACACTGCCCAGCTAATTTTTGTATTTTTAGTAGAGATGGGGTTATGCCATGTTGGCCAGGCTGGTTTTGAACTCCTGACCTCAAGCGATCCACCCACCTTCGCCTCCCAAAGTGCTGGGATTACAGGCATGAGCCACCCTGCTGGGTCTTACATACTATTTACATTGCATTTGGTGTAAACATCTATTGTTTTTCTTTTCCTCCTTCTTTTCCTTTGGGTAAACTGTGCCTGCCACATTCCCTGTGGTCTGGGGGCAATGCTGGATATTGTTAATCAGTCACCCCCTTTTCTCCCAACTCGGCAGTAAATTTATATGCCATGCTTAATAGAGTTCTGCCTTCTGGGAATGTAAATCCTGAGCAGAATGACAAACAAGGGGTTTAAAGCTAAACATCATAACAGCATCCAAATTGCCTGGCCATGGTTTCCTGACTGAGATCCCTAGCTGCTTTTCATTCCTTGGGACTGCCTCCTTGTTCAGCCTTTTTTCTTCCATTCTGCATCCTTCCATTCTGTTTAGATTAACTAGATCAAGTTTATGCAGCTTACAACCAAGTACCATAACTGACAAAACATCTGTTTTCCAGATGAAGTGATTTAAGTCAAATCCTACACTCAGTGGTCAAATCAGCTTCTAACCCATGGCTCTCTCTTCATGACTTCTGTGAAACACGGATTTATATAATGGTCCCTTTGTGGCATTAGAGAATATCTCACTTGTATTGAAGAATTGAGTTCTCTTCACAGAGGTCTTTTCCTACTGAAAAACTTCCTTAAAAGATAAAAATATTTTAAATGTACTTCTAGAAATGACAATAAGTCTGTGTTGATTGACTTACATTCAATTTAATTACAGATATTGTTGTATCTAATGAAGTGTTATGGCAGGAGAGAAGGGTGAAATTAAAAATCCTAAAGAGATCTCCAATAATCTTTTTTTTTTTT